ATGTATGAATATAATATACAAGTTTCACTTTTTAAATGGAATTACTGAAATAAATCTACTTTTTCATGATATTCTAATTTTATGACCAGCACCTGTACACTAAGGAACAACCTCAGAGATTTCTGTCAAGAGGAACACAATCCAGAAGAACAGTGAAGACACTGTTCAGAACCCTCAAGCTCCCAGGACCCAAGTTTGAAGTGAAGTGGAACCATCCAAGTGGAAAAGTAGTAGGGCAAGCTATATACTGTATATACGTATATATACAAAAAAAAAGTTAAATTTTAATGCCCTTATTAACTCATAATTTATTGAAATTAATTATAAACATTTGTTTAACTTCAAAAGAACAGTTTTTAAAGTAAATGTTGTTGAAACCGCAACTTTCTCAGTGGATCTAAGCTTGATAATGCAGCCTACGTGGATTACGGTAGTCGAAAACAGATCCACTGATTCTTCAACACAGCGCAAGTTGATAAAATGAAATTTTAAAATCTATATTGTTCGATACATAGTGCATATTAAACCTAGAGCACTGTATTGAACAATTCAATTCAGATGCATGTACTGCACCCCTAATACATGTATATGGAACATACCATGTCATGTATTAAAAGTTTTCTTTTAATCCATGATTTGAAGTGAAGGATTGTAAAGGATTATGTGAGAATGGATTTTAAAATCACACAAATCTTACAGTCAATGAAACTATAAAGATTACTCTACAGAACAGTTCTGACAAAGCAAAATCAAACAAAACATGCACAAGTTGCTTGTCACTTCAAGTATCATGAAAGAAATAACTTTCCATGTGAGGTAATGATGAAATTAAAGCCAACCCAAGGAAATATAATGTGGTTGAATAAGAGTTAAGAGATTTTGTATTTTGTTTGTTTGACAATGTTAAGAATCTATGGAAAAGCACTGCATTCACCAAAGAAAAAAAAAGAGTCCTGATCTCGTAATTACAAGATCCGGACCTCGTAATTATGAGATTTCATAATTACAAGATAAGATGTCATAATTACGAGATCCTGATCTCGTAATTATGAGAAAGATTTAGGAGTCATAGATGACCAACACTACAAGAAAAGTGGACAATAACTGCACCATTGGATTTGATTTGTTTTTAATTTCTCATAAGTGTGAGACACTGGGAAAAACTGAGTTTACTTAATGCAGATGGCATTAATGTCAGTATGTCGACGTTGCCAGGAATCTTAAATCCTTGGGGTTGTTCAGGCTAAAAGCCCACTCTGACCTGCTGGAAGTTGCTCTCTCCCTGCAGGAGCCATTAAACCAGTGCAAGATGCTTCATATCAGTAGCTAATGGATCTGAAAAGATCCCAGAGTGGCTTGGTGGTGTCCCAAAGAACTGTCCGGTGTTATATTACGTCCTGTACGTACACAAAGACCACACATAGTCCTGTTTCAACCCTGCGGTCATAACTTTATTAAACTCAGGTGAGTAAAAATATACAGCTCAGTCCGGGCACTTGTGCATTCATTATCACACATTAACATATCCGGGTGGAACATAAACTCAAAACAATAGTTCCAGTTTTTACATCTGGTACCTGCTCAAAATCCTAGATCCTCAAGGAGTCCTACTTTTCACTTGTTTTCTTGTAATTCTGAGATATTTTCTCGTAATTGTGGCATCCTTTCTCGAAATTATGAGATCTTATCTCTTAATTGTGAGATCAGGATCTCTCTCGCAATTACAAGATAGTGTCTTTTTTATTTACTTGTTTTTTTGTGAATGCAATGCTTTTCTGTAAGAATATCCCATTAATCTTAACATCAAACAAGTTTATTTAAAGATTTTACTTTGGTTCATTTACTTCAATACAAGTTTAAAGTTTATCATTGTCAAATGTAAAAAAAAGTTAATCACTTTTTCATTTCATCAGCGTGTTTCCTAGCCTGTGCTGTCACAATGCTCCGTTGTCGCTCCAGCTCAGCTGTGGTCAGCTTCAGCTTCTCCGTCATGGAGCTGAGAGAAATTTCCTGCTCGGCCACAATCTGCTCCAATTCAGCCAGACGCTCCAGGTGCTTGGGCGTTGGTACCCTGAGAGTGGGCTTTTTCATCAGTTCCTAAAGCAGGGGAAAAGGAGGGGATATGAAACCCAACAGTCAACATCAGGTAAAAGAGAAAAAAAAAAGATTGTTCAACTAAAACTTTACCATTGCTGTCTGTTTGAAGCGATTCAGTGAGGTATCTGTCTGTATGTCCAACTTCTCATGCAGGATTCTCAGCTCTTCCTGATGCCTCTTTATTGTTTCCTCTTGATCCTGGTATGAACACAGTGGAGTTCCATAGAAATAAAAAAGGCAGTAAAAAGTTTAAATAGATCAAAGAAAAACGTAAAAACCTCGACCTTTACTGAAGAAAAACCTTTTACGTCTTCTTAGTTCTTGATAAAGTATACAGGATAGAGGTGCCGAGTAACATTTTTACATTACTGTTTAATTTCAGCAGTAAGATTACAGTTTACTAGGGGCGTAACAGTACACGTATTTGTACTGAACTTTCATGATACACATCTCAGTCAAATACCAAACTAGATGACAAATACAGTGTACACAACCAATCTTGAGGAAAGTGTTCATGCTTTTGTTTTTGGCTAACATCTACAGAAGAAAGAGCGTAAAGAAAACTACTTCTTGTAAATCATTATGGTACATCCCTCAAATATATGTATTGTGGGAATTGCATGAAAAAAGCCCTTTGCAAGGAAGTGTGTACACAGGCTGCACCTGAGTTTATCATTATGATATTACATTATGATTTAGTGACTTTGTCACTATATTTTGTATTTTGCAAGTTTTCAGACCCCTCTAACATTGTTTTTCTTTTCAAAAAGCAACTAGCGACAAATCTAGCTACTTTTCCCGGTGTTATTGGAGACTGCATGTAAAAGCACAGATCATTCAGCAGCTTCTGTAACTGACCAGTATAAACAGACTGACTAATCAGTGCTTTAAATCATATTCGTACACTGATGGGACACACATAGGAAGCAGTAGGTGTTGAATGTCTTGCCCAAGGACACTTCGACATGCGACTGAACAGCGGTGGAATCGAACCGCCAACTCTCTCATTGGAGGACGAGTCCCTTAACCCAGTAGTTCCCAAACTTTAATCTTCTAACCCACAAAATACCCATGGCAAAAACTTGTGACCCCAAATATTACTAGTTTGAGTACACCACGAACTTCGTTAATAACCCTAAAAACACAGGCTTTTTGACAATCTAAACAGCTTGTACACAAATATAAATACTTATTTATACTTATTTTGCATTTTTGTAATAATTATAGGGAAAATATTACATCAGCAATTATTTTATTACCCTTTAAATTGATTTCTGGAGATTATCCAAGGTGCTTCATGACCCATAATTGGGTCCCAAGCCCAACTTTGGGAACCAAAGCAGTGGTTCCCAAACTTTTCAGCTTTTGACCCACAAAATAACAGTAGCAGAGACCTGTGCCCCCAACTATTTTTGGATGATAAACATTTGTATCAGGTCAACAAAACACGGGCATAGTAACAATATTTTTATACTACATTTATCCATTTTAAATATACTAACCTCACTCCTTTGTAACAACTAAGGCAAAAATGTAATTAATTCAGAAAATCTTGTCAGGACCCCACCTTGATGTTTCTGGACCTCACTTTGGGTCCCGACCCCAACTTTGGGAAACACTGCCCTAACCACCCAGACACAGCAATGCACCCCTAGTATTTTTACATTATTGCACATAAAAACAGCAAAGCAACAATTAAATGTTTAAAATAGTATTACTGCACCTGTCTAGTCTGAGCCATCTGGTTTTGATATTTCTTTAGAACATCTTCTTTTTTGTCGAGTCGAGCTTGGAGGTCCTTGATGGTTTGATGGGCCAGTTTGAGCGCAGGCTGACCATCAGACTGCATCTCTTTGTGCTCACAAAGGTCGACAAGCAGGCGTTCTGTGTGAGCGGCCGCTGGGAGCTGGAGACGCAGCTCGTTAATCACCTTATCCCTGGATACGATGTTCTGTTCTGCTTTCCACAGAGCGTCTTCTTTCTCTTTCAACTTCTGTCAAACAAAAAGGAGCAAACGTCAACACGACGAGTGGTGCTTTGCATTTAGCTTAAATCTGTCAGCAGTGACTGAATACTGTGCCTTGGTCAAACTTTTGCACGTGGCCTGAATCTCCAAACGGGTGCGGACGTGCTCTCTGATTTTACCAAATGCAAACTCTAACTGATGAGCAAGAGGCAGCATCGGGTCTGGGAGGGATTCTGTACATTCATCAAACTAAAGAAATGTTTTAAAAATTGTTATTAGGAAAGTAGGAAAAATGTTACTTCATGAATGTTTTAAACTTATTTATAGCTGGAAATTCAGCATTTTTGTTGCAAAACAGATTTAAATTCTAATGGTGATCCAAAAAAAAAAAGGAAGCAATATTTTTTACCTTTTCTGCACTGCTAAGAACCTCATTTTGCTGTTTTTCAAAGTCGTCCAGCTGACCCTCCAACTCTACTTGTTGTTGATCCCATGTGAGCTGGCGTTCTTCCTGCAGCTTTATGATGATGAGAAAAAAATAAGTCCTCAAAAAACCCTAGCCCACTTAGTCATGTCAAAAGACAGTTCAAACCTTTTGAAACCTTAAACTTTATGTATCAGGACACCAGGCTCTACACCTTTACAAATGCAGAAACACCATAAGAAAGTCCAACATATAATTATTTACTAAACAAAATTAATGTTAAGGAAAAAGGCATGTAAAAAATAATAAAACAAACAAGTCGATTCTGCTGTTTTCATGACTTAAGAGGTTAAAAATCAGCCAGGTTCTGTTGATCAAATGTACTGAAACACTGATCACAATGACCTCAGGTTTGCAGGTTTGGTCACACAGGTGTGTTAACACAATACCAAGGCAGAAAAAAAACCCATCAGCAACGACAACAGAGATGCAACTGTTGCTGTTCCTATATCTGAGAATGGTTAAAGGTGATTTCCTAACAATTTGGAGTTCATCAGTCTTCAAAGAGAAACATTTTTCACAAGTAGAAAACATTGAAGACCGCATTTTGCACATGACTAACCTGTTTGTCCAGGTGGAGGTAGGGCTTATAAGGCTGAGTTTCACTTGAAACTCATCAGACTGATGAAGTCTCTTGGAGGAGAGATGAAACATTTCACTAAAGAAGAACCCGTCCAGAGGACCTACTTATTTTTTCTTTTTGATTGAAGACCTCTGAAAGGTTTCTGATGAGTGGAGGTCCCACCAAATTCACCTCAAAAGTCAAACTGTGCAATGGTCAGGACACTGCCAAAAATAAGCTGCTGAAACTTCACAGGCCTCAGTTGGCAGATTAAAGTTCCTGGCAGGACAGTGATCCCAAACACAGCAGCGAATACACAACAGAACAGCTGACAAAGAAAAGAATCAAGATGTTGCTGAACTCCAGTTAAAATTTAGACATCAAACTGGTTGAAATGCTATGTTGGGACCAGGGGTGGAAATTAGCACCCGCCACTGGCCAAATTATGAAGAGGCGTGTAGATCTGAACAATGCACCCACCACAGTGGCAGGTGTGTAATGAACAAACAAACAAACAAATAAATAAATAAATAAATAAATAAATAAATAAATAAATAAATAAATAAAT